GCCTCCCGGGTGCGCGTCCACCTGCGGGCCTGGCTCCCAGCTGGCGGGCGCCACCGCCGCAGGTTCTCGCGGCCGCCTGGAGCTGCGGGAGGCAGGAGGCGGCGCTGCAGCCCCCGCCCCGTGGGCTTTACTGGGTAGCCATTTGGCGCCTCGCGGGGAGGGAACAGAGCTGCCCAGGCTGGAGGAGGAGGAGCGGGGCAAGGGGCGAGGCGCACAGCTCGGCCGCCACGCCGGCAGCGTACCCCTAGGGCTCCTCCGGCCCAGCTTGCACAAACAAAACGCCCTGGGAAAACTTTTCGCGGAGAAAAGTTGGGAGGGCTGACTTCTCTTTTCCCACCCAGGGCTCCTACTTTCTTTTCAAAAGGAGACAGTGGCTCGCCTGTTCTCTCCCGCGGCTTCCTCTCCCACTCTTCCCTCCCCCGGCCGCGCGCTCGCAGGCGGCTCTCAAGCCTGGACTTGAACGCAGGAGAGAGCGGCAACCTCCCCGAGGCTCAGCCCAGCGCGGCCCGGCCGAGGCAGCGCCTCCTCCCGCCCCGCGGGCGGGCTGCCGAGCGCTCGCTGGGCGCTGCGGGGCCGCATCCCAGGCTGGCTCACTCACCCTGCCCCATTCCCCTGCCCAGAGCCCGGGAGCTCGCTGCCACCTCCGCCAGACGGCCACTCAGAAGTGGCGACGAGGCTCGGCGGCATCGGAGCGAGAGAGGCAGCGAGCCGGAGCGAGAAACGGGGCGGGGGTGGCCGGGGACCGGGTTGGAATTTCCTTCTCCCAAGGCTTCGGGTTTTTGGGGTCCGGCTGGGCCAGCCGAACGGAAAGGAAGCTCTCATGGGGAGTGTTCCCGTTCCCACCGCTAGGGCATCGCTTCGGGAAGCCCGGCGCGCCCAACCCCGACAGGTGGGGAGGCAGGGAGGGTACCTGCTCTGCGAGGACCGGAGGGGAGGACCCGGGCCGCCGCGGAAGTGGGGAGAGAAACTCGCAGAACGGGGCCTGCTGCTTGCCCTTCCTGCAGTCTGACTTTCCACATTCTGGATGTTTTATTTTTCAACCTGACCTCTAAGATTGCTGTTCTGTTAAAAGCGTACCTGTGATACTGATCTTTCTAATCAGTGGCAGGTTTAAGCTTGCCCTGTCTTCAGAGGAATATTTTCTTTTTTAAGCCTGTAACAGCTGTGACATGAGGATTGAACGATATTATGTCTGATGACGATCTATAAACTAAGAATCGAATGATACATTTCTTCACTTCTGGGAAATTTTACAAGAATAAATAATCACACACAGCTGCGTGCTTTTTTGTATGTTTTAATTCCCACGTGCATGCTCTTTAGATGGTTCTTTACGCCTGAAGAACAGATGTATTTGCATATCTTGTGTATTATTATAAGTGCCGATTGTTGTAAGGTGCATGCCATTTTTGAGGGTCCTTGTTTTCAGGAAAATAACGTGAAATTAATTAAGAAATTTAAACTACAGTTTAAAAATAAAAATATTTCAATAAACTTACAGAGAGGTTAGGTGAAACAGCATGCTGAAGCAGGCCTCTGCTGTTGTATTAGCATCAAGTAAGAAATCTGTGTTAGCCACTTCACCCTACTGATAGGGTAACATTTGGTAAGTGGTAAAAATTAAATTGATATTTAGAACCAATACTTGACTAAATGCTCTTTTAGTTATTTATGCATTGTAGCAACCAAAAAGATTGCTGAAACTAAGTAACATACTAAATACCTAGTAGGGGCCAGCCTGATGGCCCACAGTGGTTAGGTTTGAACATTCTGCTTCTGAGGCCTGGGGTTCTCAGGTTCGGATCCAGGGCGAGGACATACTCACTGCTCATCAAGCCATGCTGAGGTGACATCCCACATAGAACTAGAAAGACCTACAACTAGGATATACAACTCCGTACTGGGGCTTTGGGGAGGAAAAAGAGGAAGATTGGCAACGGATGTTAGCTTAGGGCCAATCTTCTTCTAAATAAATAAATAAATAAAATACCTAGTAATATGCCGTTTGTCTGTTATTGGCAGTCGTTAGTATTTATTCCTTCCTGTGCGTAACATATTTCTTTTAGTGTGTCTTTACGTATGAAAAGGAAAAAGAAAGTGGCTTATTTGGATTACAATATTGGAACCATATCAGAAAAAGTTGCTTTTTAATATTTTACCTAATATTAATCAAATCAATTCATTTAAATGTGTCTGGGGCCGGCCCCATGGCTTAGTGGTTAAGTGCTCGCGCTCCGCTACTGGCGGCCTGGGTTCGGATCCCAGGCACGCACCGACGCACTTCTCTGGCCATGCTGAGGCCAGGTCCCATATACAGCAACTAGAAGGATGTGCAACTACGACATACAACTATCTACTGGCGCTTTGGGGGGAAAAAAAGGAGGAGGATTGGCAATAGATGTTAGCTCAGAGCCGGTCTTCCTCAGCAAAAAGAGGAGGATTAGCACGGATGTTAGCTCAGGGCTGATCTTCCTCACAAAAAAAATAAAAAAAAATAAATGTGTCTGGATTTTAGTCTTTAAACAATTCAGGTTAAACAATTTCATGAATCAATTATGCCTCTAAAAGACTAGCTTTTACAGTTGCTTGCACAGACAATAATGCAAACATTGAGTAATAGTGAAACTACTTAAAGTCTAACTTTCAATCACAAGATCAAGATTAAACTTTAATTGGTTTCAATCTTAATTTATGACAAGTTAGTAATATTATTGACTCCATTAGGCTAATCTGAAACATCATACGTTTTCATAACACTTTATAACTGCTAAAGGCATTTTCATTGCTCACCAATTTTTCCTCTCCTTCCTGGTTTTAGGCATAGGGGAGGATTGCACTCTCCACCCCTCTGAAATTAGGTGTGGTGATGTAACTTGTTTTGATAAGTAAATGTGAGCAGACAGTGAAACCTTTCATTTCCTGGTGGAATCACTTAAGGGCCAGTGCCCTTCTGTTTTGTGGCCCTTCTGGCCAGAGCACAGGGACTCTGTGCTCCCTTCCCTGGCTGCAATCTCGGAAGTGCGTATTAATATGGAGGTGACCCAGGACTGAAGGATCCTGGAATGCTAAACTATTACCCTGAGCACAGCTGCCCTGGAGAGCCCCAGGACCTGCAACAGAATCTGCATAAGCCAGAATAAACTTGTGTTGGGATAAGTCACTGAAATATTGGAGTGGTCTTGTCACCAACTAATTGCCCTGAGGAACTCAAGGGAGGTTTTGGAAGCAATTAACTGTTTCTCTAAATTGTTTCTTTTTTCTTTTTTGTTATGTTAAGAGATGCAATCAGCAACCACCCTGAACCAGTTAAACACCACAAGAACAAAGCCTGCAGGCCGGCCTGGTGGTGTAGTGGTTAAGTACACGCACTCTGCTTTGGCGGCCTGGGGTTTGCTCTTTTGGATCCTAGGCATAGACCTACACACCACTCAAGCCATGCTGTGGCGGTGTCCCACATACAAAACAGGAAGATTGGCACAGATGTTAGCTCAAGGCCAACCTTCCTCACACACACACGCAAAAAAAGATGGGCTGAACCGTGCCCAAGAGATGACCTTTGCCTTATTTTTAATGCTAAGATCTCTGCTCCAAGAGGAGCTTAGGCCTTATTACCATAACCTGCCATATTATGTGGAAGCATGTTTTCCAACTGAGCCTGTGCAAACGAATACTCACCTCTCTCTTTTGAATATACATTCCCCATCCAACATAAAAGTCCCCTGCTGTCCCCTGCCTGGGGAGAGCCACGACTTTGGAAATGATTCCACGTGGTCTCCTATTTGCTGCAAATAAACTCTACTTTGTGTGACAACTACTTCTGGTGGAGAGTCTGATTTTAACTTGCCAGGAAGTGAACCCACTTTGGTTGGGTAACAGTCTATTGCCAAGCGTGACTTAGCCTACCTTAGGTATAATAATGTTTGACAACTTTCAGAATCACTAATGGCTAGACTTGGTGTTCTTCTCATATGTTGCTAAACTATCTCCCCTGCAGTCTGCTGGTTACATAGTTCATTAGCAAACTAGTAATTGAAGTTGCTATAAATCTTTTTGCATAATGGTAGAAAACTGCACCGTCCCTCTAGTTACGCTGAACTATAGCAAAATTCCCCAAGTTTCCAAGATTTTTCCTAATTTCTCTTTCTTTGGAAATCTCCCCTCCCCTACTCCATCCAATAATTTGTATGCATGTGCTCAAATATAATCTCCTCTGGAAGACTTTCCTGACTACACAGAAGTAGCCCTTCCCTTTCTTAGCCCCCAGTAATTTCTGTTAGGTGGGGCAAGACCCCATGAAAACTTTGTTTCAGTTTTTTATTTACATAGTAACAGAGTGGGGGCAGAGGTTGAATTTAAGGGGCCATGTCTAATCCTTTGTGCCCTGAAAGGATGCCCAGAACGCAGGAGGCTCTCTACAAATATTTGTGGAATGAAAGAAGTGAAGGAATCTTTAAGGACTCCACGCCTCAGGGGAATTGTAAGAGGAAGTGGAACCTTAAGTCAGGGAAGGGGTTTTCAATTCAAAGGGCCTGGTAGACCATTTTAAGTGGAACAGATGGAAGGTGAGTTTGTCCTCCTAGAGAGAGAAGTTATTCTCCGCATGGTTACCTGATGGGGTTGGTTTCAAAGTCACCAGGTAGAAAGAAGGTCCATTTAGCTATATAACTCTTTGAATGATAATTTAGGTCTCAGAGTTCTGCTAGAGAATATTAAAAGAGAAAAAGTTTTACATACTTAAATAGGCATGTGCTTATATAAAAAGAAGCAGACATACACTGGTTAAAGCGGGCAATGCAAAAATTGTTGGAAAAATAGAATTGGGGTTTGTCTAAATATTTCGTAAATTATTTGGAACAATGAAAAACTTTTTTTAATATTTAAGTAAGTTTTTATTCAAGTATAAGTGCCACTGAAAAGATGGTGGTGAATATCTTCCTATATATTTCACTTTTGCATATTACAACCTAAAGGAAGTGCTTATTTTGTGTATTCCTAGATTATGTGTGTGTGTGAGGTTTTACATAGCAAGATCAGAGATGTTGCATGGTAGTGTTCAATTTTAATGAAACTCTTCCTTCAGACTTCGTATTTCATAGAAGCTACTTAATCTCAGGCAAGCATATTTTTTATTAAAGTCTTTATGTATAAGAATTTATTGATGACAACAACTAAGAGTCAGGATTGTGGCTTTATTCCCAACTCTGGAATCTATACATAACAGTTTATTACCAGTTCATCTTCATATAATATTTTTATAATTTACAGAGTACTCCTACACGAGTTAAAACATAGAAAGCGTTGTTAGAATTCAGTGTTCCCTGTAAAGCTCAGTGAGAGAGCTTTATCCCAAAGTACCAAAAATCTTTCTTTTTCTTTGGCTGCCAGGAATCCTGGGTCAGGTTTTTTACTTAGTCACTACTGCCTCTATCTTTATCTACAAAGACTGGCATATCTACTTTTGGATCCCCTCATATTTTTATTTATAATCTTATTTTAATGTTTTTTACTTTCAAACTGCTCAATAATTGTTTCATAGGTGTAAATAAATAAATTCAATAGGCACGTATTTGTTGAAATATTGTAGTTTCTTTAATACAGAAATAGCTATTTTATGAAAAATTCTCTTGATTTTTTTTGTTTGGTTGGCAAACTTTTTCCTCTTTACATTGAAGAAAGAAATATATGCGTGAAAATATGAAAAG